ATATTATTTTTTGTTCATATGTCTAAGATTTTTTTCAATGTCAAAAACAAAATACTAAAATAACAATGATGCTGTAAGTAACAATCTTTCTCTTAAATGAACCAGCCTGGTTTTACTTCAAAGTGTTTTTCTTGTTTTGCTTCTCTATAGCCCTGATCGTGGTAAAACTATATATTTATTCTTTAAAAAGCAAAAAAAAAAAAGTTTTTAAACTATTGTATTACATTACTACTACAGAACATCATTAAAATTTGTCTTGTACAATGTAAAATAGCAAATTAATACTACAGTGTGCATATACGATTAATTTATGTAATAAATATTGTAAAAAGGACGAAATTATGTTTTATAAAATATAACTTGTAATTTTTGTACAAATATCGATATTGTATTTGACTCTTTGTGTTTGTGCAGTTACTTACACTTTTTGCAAGGTCACAGTGACAGGGAGATTACATCAACGTACTTAATTACTTCATCCATAGTGGTATTATAGATCTTCATGCCTCAATTCATACATTTTGTACGTAAATGTGTAACTATTTCAAGGTATCAATGAGTGTTTACCGAAATGTCTACTTTCCTATAGTATACCTATTATAGTATCTGTGGTTTAACAAATGAGACATAATATCAATAATGAAGGAAATCCCAGTCGGTTATATTATTAATAAACTATCCATATAAGTCCGACATAAGTTACGGTTAGTGCGTCTTTTGTCATAAAAAGACTGTAGGCTCTACCGGTATATCTTATTGGGTTATTCGAATATAAATACCGATGACAAATTTCTAGGGTGTAATTATGGATTAACTGCATACTACCGGTATTGAATACGTGCCGTCATCATACTGCGTGTTAGTCCTAAAATTCAACATTATCGTTTTTGATGAACAAAAAATTTGAGTTATTCAACTTTTTATTAATTAATTAATTCATTCATTCATTCATTATACTTCGATATAATATCCATACAAAAAATTATTATCGGAACTGTGGGCACGGAAGCCCTCAAGATAACTCATCATTTTATCATCACTGTAGTAACCCTTTAGTTACAAGAAAGATTCTCGGACACAAGTATACTTGAATCCACCTCTGCTTAAAACATTCTTTATCCAGAATAGTCATAATCACGAAAAATGGACATGAAAAACTAGATCACATCATAAAAACAAACAGCAGTCACTAAGACATACATCAGGAGCCGACTCGATGGAGTTTAATGTCATACCCAGGGAAGGGCACAGGTCTGTTTTGAAAGGTGGAGGGGGAGGGCATTTTGTGAGTCGACACCCACCTCAGTCCTTCCCCCCCCCCCCCACATGGGTGGAGCTGAGGTGAGGAAATTCGAGGAAATAGTACCTCTAGATGGCCAGAAATGACACTTTTAGTAAAATTCATCATCATCACATCACCATTAGTCAAAATGAAGCGCCAAAAAAAATTCTCATGATCTTATATCACGGATTTTTGACAGCCATTAGAGATCTTATTAATGTTTGTGTGATATACCATAGAAAACAAAGCTTAAAAACATTGTCTTTGAGTATGTACTTTATCGAGGTAGTGTGAGTTTTGAGAACAAGAACGCGTTCGCGAACGTGGTCCGTGGTATTCAAGACTTCCCAGAACGTGTTCTCCGACTGTTCCTCGTTCGCGAACAGCGTTTCGAATACACCCATAGAGTTCTCCACACAAAAAAAGTGTTCCACCGAAATGCATGGTGGGAATACAAACAATGGGACGCCCCCTACAGCTGGATCTAAAAAACTTCTGCCAAACTTTCGCTACCAAGTCGTCGCGTATTTTATTATCAATTCACTTTTTATTTACTAGATATAAAAACAAACTGGAATAGACATCCAGAAAGTGACATCGGTGAATACATAACCTCCTTGGTGGCGGTAGAAATCGTTGCTATTATCCAAATAAAACACAAAACAATTAAAGCATAATCATGAATCAGTAAAGAATAAAACAATACAGCGCAGAATCGTATGGCCGGACGCACTCTTTCCTACATTAGTGGAAAAGGAAGGGCGCCTTTTGCGTCTGGATATACTTAGCAACAGAAGGGCGCCCTGTACGTTGGGCACGAAGTATAGAAAACTTGCATGGTTTAAAAGAAGAGCGCCGCCTACGTTGGGCACGACTTCCGCCTCATTTAAGTGCTCTATCTTGTATTTCTAGTATCTTTGGTTCGAACTAAAAAAAAAAAAAACACAGCCCGCGAAAAGGTCAAAATAGGGACATGACGCATGCGCAACAACAACTCGGAAGATTTCGGGGGAAAAAACAGGCCTCGCGATGGTCTGTTTTTGTTCCGAGATAACTCAGGGGACCCCTGTGAAATCTCGGAAAGTTTTACAAGGATTTGCTTTCATACTCATCCAAACCTGGTTACAACTTGTTACAAGTTGTTAATATTTGCAAAATAGCATCAGTGTGAAATGGGTATTAGTAGTAGTATTATTAAACAAAAATTTAAAGAAACTTGCAAAAGGATAAAAACGAAATTGAACCACAGTATCGCATTTCTATCTTTAATGACCTGGCCTGAGATGGATTTAGGTCTTTGTGTTGTATTAGGCCTATGTATAACGTTTACTGATGCATATTTACATGTTTTAGAAGATTTATTTTGAGTGATCCCTGGAAAGAATTTGTATTGGCTCAAGAATAAGCTTTAAAATTTTAACACTGTGTACAAAAGGTTGGGGGGGGAGCCGCGGCTCCCACGGCTCCCCCCCCCCCACCCCTGGATAAGTCCCTGTATGTATATATCCCTTCGTTCTGTGGAACAGTGTCCCCTAAATAGAGGTGTGTATATATATGCTGTAGTAACCACCCAGAGGTGACGGAACTAGGGGGTGCTGTGTTATGGAGAGTAATGTGTGACCGGAAATGGTCAGTTGGTTGTTACCATGCGCCTGTGATGTTGGAGTATATAGTACAGCAATATGAAACTATTAGGCCTAATGAATGAATAAAGTTTGTCGGGTAGTGAAATGATTATTTCACATTTTAAGTGCTCCCTAAATTCATTCAAGTGTAAGCTAAATTACGGTGATTAATTCAATTAGCGAAGATATGGAGACAATTATTTCGAATCCCTCTTTCCAAGAGGGGATGCTAATGCTTTGTGAAAATAAGTACGCCGCGGTACTCATTTTCACAAAGAAATACACACAACTGGTTAGCTAACAATTATGTCAATATTACATGAAAAGGAAGGTGCAATCACGTAGTTACCTAGCAATCGTCTGTACTGTATGGGGGAGGGGCTGCTGATGTACTGTGTAGCGGGGGACGATGAGGCATAAGACTAGGCCTAGGCCTAACTAAGACAGTGGAATTTTATGTGATAGAGAGTACACTTTCGGAAGAAATAAATTAAAATAAGAAAAAAAAATAACTAAGAATAATTCATTTGCAGAGGTACCTTGTTTAAGTATTATACAATGCTAACAATGCGGCTCTTGTAGCCCTGGCTTGAGCAAGGCATCCATGTGCAAAGCAGTGGTGTTTGTTTATCCATGAAAAAAGCACGCCAAAGGGAAAGTTTGCCTTACCAGGAAAATGTGACGTAATCTAGCTTATGACGCATGCATGCTAACTAATGTGAGTGTGACGTCACCAAAAAATGAATATTTTCTATTATAACCAAAATATTAATAACTACAAAGTTTATGGGCGTAAATTCCCTTAATACGAATGAAGGATTGCACAATCTCCTTGCCATACAAATTACAGCTCCCACTGACGTCTCAGTCGAGAAATACGGGTAGCTGAAGTTTTTCTCGCAAATCTGACTACAAAACCATATCCAAATTTCACGTTCCACTTTTGACCCTGAGTTGTGCTTCGCACTCGCCGCTGAGGGCGGCGTTCCGGGAACCCTGCGTCGAGTGACAGTCATAGCCAAATGACTTTTTTGCAGGCCGGACAGCCGACGCCGAAGGCACCGTTGGCGTACAATATACGAAATATTATTTCGAGGGAATGAACCAGCGTGACCACTGCTTGGGTATTTACCCAAGATCTTGGGTATTTTGACTTGGTCTTGGGTTCTTGGGTATTCCGTTCAAATCCTTGGGTATACTATTTTATTTAATAATTAACACAAACAATTACAATAAAAAATTGGTTTATAAATTGAACTAAAAGGGAAACTATACATGCGAAAACACGTATTTTTCAAATTGCATTTTCAGGAAGCTTGGGTAATTTTGGGGAATTTTTGCTGAATCTTGGGTAATTTCGACCCAGTCATTGGGTACATCATAAATTGTGAGTGGTCACGCTGGAACTATTTTATACCTCCATGCTGGAACGAACGTGTACAGAATACAAATACCTTGGAGTTTGGTTTTATGGTAAATTTAAATTGAATTGGAATTTTAACAACATTAAACTGTGTTCTAAAGCAAACCAACGTCTATTATACTTCTTAAGAGAACTTAGGGTTTATAATGTAGGCAGAGATGCACTCTTTTTTTTTTTTTTTTTATCAAAGCATGGTTCAATCTGTGTGATTACATATTGTTTTGTATTGTGTGGTTAATTGGTTTGACCAGGAAGAACCAAGACCAACTCAACAAGATAAAAAAAAAAGTCGGCAGCAAAAATTAAAGGTTTAGAAGTGACTGACATTGAGAGTATATATCAGATTAATCAATCAATCAATCAATCAATCAATCAATCAATCAATTAATTAATTAATTAATTAATTAATTAATTAATGGTTCCATAGGTTGGGAACCTCTGCTTCAGTCAGTCAGGTAACAGTACAGTACTTTTAAATAAATCGTAATTAAGAACTTCTTGAATGATTTCTGGGAAGAAAGTTTTTTAGGTTTGAAGTTAAGAATGTGTTGTACTAATATCTTTACTGGTTTTTTTTAAGTTAATTACCCAGGAAGACGCATTGCATGTATTATTGTATATGACTGAATAAATTGAACCTTGAACATCAACAAACACAGAGACAGTGAACTCAGGTAGCAGGCAGGAACACTGAATTAAATCACTGTAACAAAGGTTAAGGTTCCTTTCTCCCAACGTAACATAACAATACACGATGTGTATGCAAGATGTACAAGATTATCGTATTAAAGACAACTGTCAAAATCAAGCAGTTCAACTATTAAAAACGAAAAAAGAGAAGCAGGGATAAAAAAAAAAAAAGAGAGGACCATCCGATACCCGGTACGCATCGCAGTGCAACTAGGCGGAGGGGCTAAATATATACATTCGATTTAAGCGAGTGCAGAAAAGTTGGAAAGGAATCAAGGATAAGGGAATTTTTATATACAGTATGTTATAATTTATATATAGGTATATACATGACTATATTTATTAGACCTATATGTACTGTATTTAACCTGAGCTACATACTTGGTTAGGCGTAGCCACTGATCTCTACTATATAGTAGCTATTATAGTAGAGATCATGTGTTGTTATTGCTTTGGTTATTATTAGAACCGTTTTATCGGAATTGCGATGTTGAATCAAGTGTGGGAAAAACCAAGAAAACAAAAATAGCTCACTGGATTTATTATAGACTTACAAACAGTACTGCATACAGCAGTGTATGTAGGCCATAGTAGAATTGGCTTGTTCACACTCGTTATTTCGATTTATTAAAACAGCTAGAATTAGTCCGATCCTGAATAGAAAATACCTTGATATTATAAGATGACAGGAAGCGAAGGAACACAAAAATATGAGGTAGGGCCTATTGTAATGTACGCCTTTATTTCTCTAAGTTCTTTTACCAGCAGTGGTGGCGCCGGGGGGGGGGGGGAAGACGATGTTTTGTCAGGGAACAAACAAATAAAAACAAATATTTACATGTAATATTCGTTTAGCCACCATATTGTTTGTGTTAACTTTTTATCACAACAACAACAACAATAATAATAATAATAATAATAATAATAATAATAATAATAATAATAATAATAATTCAATTAGACTAATTAAAAATAATTTGCGTTCTGTTATGACAAATGCTCATTTAGATAGCCTCATGATGGTTGGAATACATCGTGATAGGTGAAGCAACCTCGACCATGACAGCGTGGTTGATAGATTTAATGCAAAATTTCCAAAATATAGAATTTCACTTTCAAGAATGAGGATTTGAAAATAAATTAGATGGATACATTGCATACTCTTTGTTTCTTGCTTTATTCAAAAAGCAAGATTTTTTTGGTTTTGGAAGCTGATTTCAACATTAGAAAGCATATGCTTTCATAGCCTACATGAAGTCATATTATAGTAAGTTGATGCCTATCAAATAAGTAATAAAAAATCGCCATAATTCATCAAATACCCGTGGCTTCCTATGCCTAGGCGCCCCCCCCCCCAGCCAAGTGAGACTCGATGTGGTTATTGGTTCATTGATGATAGTTGTAATGTTGATGCCGATAATGGTGACAGATCAGTGGTGGCGCCAGAGGGGGGGGCTGTAGCCCCCAGCCAAATGAGACTCCACTAGCCCCCCCCCCCCGTCAGGGCCTTTAGCCCCTCTGTCGGGCAGGTCCTGGCACCACCACTGTTTACCAGTAAGGTAGAATTGGGGGTCTGTCCGGGCGCATCACGTAGCATGGCCGTCGGAACCGCACCGGCAGCATCGGCTTTGGCCGGACCACTTTCTCTAAATTTTATTACTTTTTAAAAATAATTATATACTGATACCTATAAATTATACTAATTATTAATGTCTGTTTAATGTTATTAAATTTAAACAAAAATCCACCATGCACTTGTTTTTGTATTGTCTATGTACACTTTAACTTTTAACTTTTTTTGACTGCTAATCCTTAAATTTAGTAATTAGCCTAAGATTGATTTTGAAAATGTTTAAAATAAATATAAAATAATTATTTATAAAATTTTGGGGGTTGGAGTCTGCCAAATTTTCGTCACTACACAAAGGTATAAGGGTCAAGCCGTCCCTAATTACTTGCAATCAAATTTTATACCCTTAAAGTGGGCCATTCATTTTTTAAGTATGCATGTAGCCGATGCGATTCCGATAGCCCTTAAAGTGTAATCGGTATAAGGCCTAACATAAGCAAACACAGCACTTAATGAAAAAAATAAATAAATAACAATTCAAGAACTCATCTACAGCGTGATAATAATCCTCTTTAGCATTATGTACAAGGAATATTTAGGCCTTTAATATATCTCTTTTGTGAATATTCTGTAGGTCTAATGTTTTCTTGCATAGTTACTAACTTGAGAGATTTGAAATGTTAAAGGGGGGTGGGGGGCGCTGGGCTCAATCCAGGGTCCAGAGGCAGAGGTCCGGCAGGGGTCCAAAACTCGCAAAATAAGCTCTTTTTATGTGCTTTTTAACAAGTTATCCATCTTTTTTTTTAGGGGGTTGGTGGGAAGAGGGGGACAAGTAATTGGAGCGCCCCCCCCCCCCCAGCAGCATTATAGATACGCCACTGTCCCGGACGACCTGAGCATCCTTAAGCTGTTCTAAAACGATTTCAAGGAGTGTTTGTTTTGAATAGAGCCACGTACAATTGGAGTTTTAATGTACATTACGTTTAATTTGAGTACCCAAACTATAATGTGCACAAACATTTCATTACTTAAACAACAAAAAATGCATAGGCATACTGATCAAATTTTAGTAACGCGTCAGTGAATTAAGTATTCACGTAAATACTTTTTAATGACTCAAGTTACTGCATGACCGTTTTTATATTTTTAATAAAACCAATTCCTGTTTTCTGCAAAATGTGTGTTTCAAACAAAATCACTTTGAAAGGCGGGACCGTCCCGCACAATGCGAGACGGTTGGTAACTATGTCTTGAGTCATACCGTACTATCTCCATGCTATCTTGTGGCTGTCTCCTAAGAGAGAATGGTACAATATTTCCGGATATTTAGAAGTGCCAAAAAAGTTGTACACTTCATGATGAGGGCAGGGGTTGATATGCTCTCAGACCCTACTAACTTTAAATCATGTATCCATAGAATTGGGTGGCAATTTCAAAACCAAATGTTTTAAGCGCACCCCCGTCCCCAAACGGCCGGACCACTTTCAAAATGCTTCTGACATGCGTAGGCAGCTTATGTGTGCCTCCTGGAGACGCACACTATGGATTTGTCCATCCCTCACCCCCCTCCCTTTGCTGTTTTGAGGTCGGATTTATCAAACTTACTTTGCTTTGCAAAAACATTGTAGCTCCACAAATCTTTTCAAAATTTAAAAGACATAGTAAACAACGAGAAACCCACCACTCAAAGGAAAACCAATATTATAGTAAATCTTGACAGAAATATAAACAAGAGGGGATTGGATTCGATTCGATTTTTTCCTTGAACACCAAGGATAGCCCACGAATGACTAGAAGACTTATTTCCAGTGGGGTCCTTCTGGTGGTGATTGGGCAGTACACCGGGAGACAATCCCCTACTATTTTCCGAAGAGTGTACTGCGTTCTTTAACGCGCACATGGGCCATAATGCACACGGGACCAACAGCTTAAACGTCTCATCCGAAAGACAGTGCGCTAATCATCAGCGATGGGAATTGAACAGAGGACCTAGAGACCTCCATGGTTCAGCACACACACAGTGGCTGCCACCAGATTAGCCGACTGAGCTAAGCTGCTCTCTCATCAGTCTTTAACCCCCACCCCGTCCCTCCCCAATACTGTAAAAAATATAGCCTTTTCGAATAAATTAAGATTTTTATTGAAGACATAAAGGATCTGACAATTCAGTTTATCAACCGCATGCATTACAAGAGGACCATACTTCAAAAGGGGTGGGGACTGAGGTACGTTTTTATTCAAACCAGTTGAAATTGTTAATGGTACTCCCCCGACCCGGCAAAGAATCCTTGATCGGCCCCTTTCAGCTATACTTTTGTATTTGATTGTATACGATTGTTGCCTTAAATGAGTTTCTGCAAAGACCAAATAAATTTTTTTTGGTTGTTGTTATTATGTTTCATTTACAATTTGCAGAACCCTCAAGTAATTGAGTTAAAGGAAAAAGGAAAAAAAGCAATGAGTGAAAAACGCTATGAAGATGCCATCCGCCACTACAATAATGCTATTGCACTCGACCCTGACAATTACATTTTTTACAGCAATCGTTCAGCCGCTTATGCCCATCAGGAAGAGTACAACCTGTCCTTGAAAGATGCAGAAAAATCAATTGAACTGAAACCTGACTGGGCAAAGGTAACGTAAAGTTTAGTCTCTCTGGACAGCGGAGGGGCCTACTTTGTCTCTTAGGGCCAATATCTTGGTCGCAGACTCTGTGCACCCGGTCGTCTGTGGCAGGGCATAGGCAGATGGTTGACCCTTTGAAACATAGCGCTGTTTTGCCACCACATTATATTACTGTAAAGTCAACATGTTCTTGTTTTATAATTTTATGTAATGTACATAGAGGCACTGTGCAATATACGCTATAAATGTATCAATTTTGTTTATGTTGTATGGAAAATAATTGTATTGAAATGTATTATTACTACTACTATTATTATTATTCATCTACTATTATTATTATTCATCATCATCATCATCATCATCATCATCATCATCATCATCATCATCATCATCATCATCATCATCATATCAAACTACTGTATTATTATTAGGAGTGCGAGGGTCATGGAACATCATGGTTGCACTCATGAATGAGGGTCAGAATATCCTGACTCTTCCCCATTATTCTATCATTCACCCAACAGAATACAAAATAAAATGAATTTCGAAAAATACTTGTTTTGTTTTTAGCAAATGGGGATTTAACAAATGCAATTAAATTCCTTTGTAAGTGAAGGTTCCACTGGCACCTCTGTACATACTAAAAAGTCTATATAATAATAATAGATGGATTTATATAGGATATATAATTATGATTTGGTTCAAGGGCGCAGTTCTGTTTTTAAAGGGGGGGGGACATTTTGTGAGTTCACACCCGCAAAAATTTGAAGAAACGTTACCTTCAAGTAGGGCAGAAATGACACTTTTATATAGTAAAATTCATTATCATTACATCACCATTATATACTGTAGTCAAAATGTAGCGGCAACAAATTAATCATGATCATTTATCTCAGTTTTCAGCAAGCCATAGAAATCTAATTAATAATGCGTGATGTACCACAGAAAATAAAACTTAAAAACATTGTCTTTGATGTATTTAATTTACTTTACCTACTTCAAAGCCATGAGTCGACACCCACCTCACCCCCAACATGGTTGGGCTAAAGCGCGAAAAATTGAGGGAATAATAAAAAATGGGTCCATTATGCAGTTTTATGCATAAAATGAGTCCATTTTTGAAAAATGGGTCCAGATTTCTCATATTCAGCTTAAAATGGGTAAAATTTTAAATAAATGGGTCCACATTTTTAATACTTTTGCGTAGAATGGGTAAACTTTTAAGAAAATGGGTCCACATTATTTGTATTTACGCGTAAAGTGGGTCCACCGTGATATTGTCCTGCACTGTTTGAAAATCCTGGCTACGGCAATGCTCAAGGTGTTCGGAAATGACACTCATAATAGTAAAAATTCATCATCACATCACCATTTACAGTTAATCAAATTAAGCGCTAACTAATTCTTCACGATATTTCATCAGCGATTTTCGGCAGTCATAGTGATCTAAAAAATCTGTGTGATGTACTTTAGAAAATGAAACTTAAAAATATTGTCTTTGATGAATAAAAAGTGTAGCCGCGTTAGTCTGTTATAGAACAATATAAAGTAATGACAGCAGCACTTTTGAGACTAAAAATATAGAATTTATTCTCTTGCTTTCGTCCACACAGTGGAATTCATCAGTCTGTGTGGACGAAAGCTGGAAAATAAAATCTATATTGTTAGTCCCAAAAGTGCTGCTGTCATTTACTTTATATTGTCTTTGATGTATTTACGTTACTTTACCTACTTTAAAGACGTGAGTCCACACCCATCTCAACCCCACCATGGTTGGGACCAAGGCACGAACATTTGGGAAAATAGTACCTCTAGATGGCCAGAAATGACACTCTTATATAGTAAATTTCATCATCATCACATTAACATTGTCAAAATGAAGAGCCAACAAATTTCTCATGTGATCTTTCATCAGCAATTTTCGGGAATGATAGCGATCTAATCTCTGTAATGTACTATGGTGTACGGTAAAAATGGCCCAGGTAAAAATGGCCCTGGTAGAAATGGCCCTAGTAAATATGTCCTCAAATGACAGGTAGGTAAAAATGGCAACAATAATAAAAATGGATATGGTTTCTGTTGATTTATTAATTCAATTTTTTTTACAGCATTTAAAAATTTATTTTTTTATTGAATTTTATAATTGGGGGCCATTTTTTATTTATTGATTCAATACTTGCTATTTTGGGGGTCATTATTACCAGGCCATTTTTTCCTATATCCATGTACTATATAAAATAAAACTTAATTGTCTTTGATGTATTTACTCTACTTCACATACTTCATGTGCCAAAAACCAATCTTATCTTTACACGCTTTTTCTCATACTTCTCAAATTATAATAAAGGCATGCGCACTCGAATCGTGTACGCCTATTATAAGTAAATTTGATGTATGTGGGCAGAGATACTAATATCCTTGCTATAAGATAAGATGTATTTTGGCTGTACATTGCTCTTTCGTTAAAACCTGGGTTATTTATGCATATCTTTTCAACAATTTTCAGGCATCTCCTTGAAATTACATTGTAATCGAAAAGTGAGGGGGAACCACTCCCTTAAAAATGTGTCTGTGGTGTCCTCTACCCCCCTCCCAAATGATCTTCGCCATTAATTGTTTAGAAAGACAATCTAATTCTCTGTCAGATGACATTAAGCAAAATACATTAATGTATAGTTCGTAAGTAAAGCATGGAAGTATGTTTTCATCCTTATAGGGACGTAGGCTGCTTTTGATGGGTGAAAAAAATAATTTGCTGCTATGATATAGGGCGGCCATTTTGGACAGGATCTTAGATTTGGAGGTCATCACAGTAATTTTCCAAGAGCACACAAACAAATTATATTTTGTAATATAAATAAGCAAGCAAAAAAAAAAAGTGTACTTAGTGTTACAGATGTGGACCTCTTTAACCATAATACTAAAATATAATTAATCTAACAGTGGACGTTCCATTTAGGGGTACTCAAGGAAAGGTGCGGCATTGGTCTACTTGGATCGCTTTAAAGAAGCAAAAGAAGCTTACGAGGAAGGATTGAAGTTAGATCCACAAAATAAAGGAATGAGTGAGGAATTGGAGAAGTGCATTCAACGAATGAAAGGTAAACTTTTGTTTGAGTAATCATTGGTCTGATGTCATCGTCTATAGTATAGGCAAGAGCACAGCACATCAAAATAAACCTTCACATTTTGAAGACAATGAACATATCTGTGAATTTGAAGGCGAGTAACAAATAAAACTACAGTACATTTTGCTGGAAGATGTTAAACATATCTGTGGTGAAATTCCTTTTGCTGTCCATATAACGTGAAGCTGTTGTGATAAAGTTGTTGCCTTTGAATCTAAGTGTCCTGGGTTAGGTTTATGGATCCAATGACCAGGGGTAACATTGCCATCGCCTTTTATTCCTTGGAAAAAATGTGCGGTTAATCCTTAATCCAGAGCATTTCTTTAATTGAACAATCAAATTTGTTTCGCATTTAGATAAGATTCTGAAGTGTTCAACAGCTTTATGAAATTGGAATAAATAATTATTTTTGGTTTGGTAGCACAATTAATTTTGTTAGATTGACGCAATTCAGTTCATACTGCAATGTAAATTTTTGTTGTTTTTAATAATAAACCAGAATGAAATGAACAATTACTTGATTGCTAACTGACTGACCGAATGGTTGACGATCAAGCAATTGCACAATAAGACAATCCATCAATCAATTGATCGATCAACTGATTGTTGATATGCTGTTTGAACTATAGATCCTGCTTTAAGTCAGCCATTGTCAAACCCATTTGCCATGCCTGGAGTAGATGATAAATTAAAATCAGACCCAAGAACCAGCCAGTACATGGACAACCCAGATTACCAAAAACTACTGGGGACACTAAAAAGAGACCCAAAATCGCTTGGAAGGTATGCTATAATAAAATAATTAAATGTACAATTCTACTTTTTTATTGGAATTTTTTCATTTTCATTTTTCTCTTCATTTTATTTTATTTCAAAAAAACGCAAAAATACATTATAAAATTCTTCTAAAAAGTAAATATATTGAATTCACTGTTTTGTGTTTATCTGTAGTGTTCCTTTTCTTGCTACGTGGTCTCTTAATCTCTGTTTCTTCATTTAATTTATTGTATTTGTTTGAAGAAAAAATTTTTAAAAAAACAAAACAAAAAATATAACAAAAATTTATAATATTTCACTGTGGAATAGAGTGGATTTATTCGGTGTAAACAAGGGGTGATGCGCTGGATTGGATTGGATTCGGATTGGATTTATTCGGTGTGACCACCAAGGATAGCCCATGAAAGTCTAGAAGACGACTTATTTCCAGTGGGGTCCTTCTGGTGGTGATTAGGCAGAACACCAGGAGACAATCCCCTGATCTTTTCTGAAGAGTGTACTGCGTTCTTTAACGTGCACATGGGCCATAAATTCACGAGACCAACGACTTAACGTCTCATCCCAAAGACGGTGCACTACTGTAACTTGTATTTCAGCCCTCCAGCTGAAACACAAGGAGAGGCAGCGATAAGAATTGAACTGGGACCTAGAGATCTCCACGGTTCACCGCATACACAGTGGCTACCACCATTAGCCAACTGAGCTAAGCTGCTCTCTTTCAACTGAGCTGCTCTATCATGTTATAATCAATATAGCTTTTTGTTGTTTGTACTGGTTTAATACACATTTTTATATATTTTATTTGAAAAAACTATGCAAACTATGTACACGTCACACATAGGATAGTGATGGTGCAAAACGAGTACTTTTAAATATTTTTCTTTTATGAATGCACCATCACTATGCTATGCATACGTGTGCATAGTTTGCATAGTTTTTTCAAATAAAATATTATTATAAAAATGTGTATTAAACCGGTACAAGCAACAAGCTATATTGATTATAATATGATACATATTATATACTATATGTATTTCTTTGTTTCCAGGGAGTTAGAAAGTAAAGAAGTTATGGAAATTTTGAGTGTGTTACTTGGAATTGAAATAAAAATTCCATCAGATGACGATGATGATAAAGAAGAACTATCTGTAGATGCTGGGGAAGAACAACTCGCTGATGCTACAGAGACACCACATGCTAAGGAACCTCCAACTACAGAGGCTACAGGACAACCAGATGCTGAGGAAGACCAACCTAAAGATGTTATGGACAAATCACACGTTACACCTGTGCAAGTGGAAGATGAGGGACGAGAAAGTGCAAATATTACTGATAACTGCGATAGTGAAGAAAATAATTTTGATGAAATAGATGATGATGTCAGTGATCACAATGAGTCATCAGAAGTTGCTCTTCCTATACAAACAGAGGAACATGAATCAAAGGAAGATATGTACAGCATGTCATGTTCCTCTCAATCTTTTCGGAATACATCACCTTCACAGCTTCCCTTCCATGATTGTACTCAAGATGCTCAGGAGAAAGCAAATGATGCAATGGTTTCTGCTGGTCCTAATGAGAAAATGGCTCCAGCATCTGAACCATCTTCTCTTAGCTCAACTGTCGAAATACAACCAGAATGTGACCAGAAGCAAAAGGACACCACGCAAGTAACTCAAACTGTTACTGAGAAGGATCTGCCAGAGTCTGATACACTTAGTTCTTCGGAAAAAGATGGGAGCCATGCTGTATATGAGAAAAATGCAGAAGAGGCAGAAACAATGGCTTCTTCATTGGATTCGAAGAAACCACCTTCTGAAGAAGAGAACGAGGTTCCAACAGAGGCCAATCATAATGGATAGATTTCCCACACAGCAAAATTTTGATTCTTATTTTAAGAAAAAAAAAAACTTAAATTTAAATTTTATAATCAAGCATTATATTCTTAACAAGAATTATTTTTAAAAGAATCTGATTCCTGTTTATGAATAAACTTACTTGTTTCAGGCATATTTTTTCCCTTGAAATAAGAATAATTAGATCATGTAAATAATGTTTAACTAGAATCTCCACAATGTGCAGATAATCTGCAATCAATAACTTTTATTGACATCATCAATTTACAATCAGGATACAGTCAAGCTACACAAAAGCCTATATTACATAACCAAACAAAATTGTGAGAGTATATTGGAGGTAAAACGTGCGACATGGCCTCCTCATATCTACAGAGTATGTTACAAAAGGTTAGCATTTCAAAAGTGCCACTGGAATAAATGTCTCAACACATTTTACATACATAATTGAAAAGTTCAAAAGAAATATAATTTTTTACAGTATGAAAATGTTTATCTTAACATTCAATGGCACAGTGCAAGTGGCGTAAAGAGTAGTCGCATTTCAGAGGATCTGCGTCCTGGATTCTTGTCCTTTAACTTGTTTACACTTTAATCAAAAACTAAACAGTAGTAATTTTTATCAACCTAACTTAAAATTATCAAAAAGCATATTGGTTTTCTATTACACTGTATACTAAAATACTACTAATATCTATAAATATTTTAATAAGATGGTATTTTTTAAGAAAAACTATTTTTAAAACATCCAACAAAACACATAATGGGAATGAAATGGTTAAGCATAAATAAAGTTTTGAAGTTGAATTTGAAGTGATGTGAAGTATGGCGAGGACTTGCTTCCGGTGGTGGTGTTCTGGTGGTGAAATGGGCAGTACAAAGGATCAAAGTTGTTATATTTAGCAAAAACTTTTATTTTGATTTTCTCCTGCACCTGGATACTTTTGGCAAAATAATTTGCTAAATAAGAAAACAAAACTTTATTATTTCTTTTTCCCATCTTCTCTGACCATCTTTAAAAAAGTTTTGCCTTAGACAAGCAATTAATGATTTGCCATCTTAATTATTAAAAAACATAATATAGTTAAGTTGTAGTTGTACATGAACATATAGTTATTAGGTTTTGAAACTTATTATTTATATTATATCATTGAATGCTGTTCTTACAAATGAAATAAATTAAATTGAATTTAATCAGTGGCATACAATCTTCATTTCTTAACACATTATTTTACTTAGTATTGCCAGCTACATTTTCACCATCAAATTGCACAAAACATTCCTTCTTTGGAGCTTTTCCACAGGCCCCAATCAGAAAGTCTGTTAATGGACCACAACAACCTACTCTGGACAGAAGCCCCTTTTCTAATCATACCTAAGGCATTCTTATACAACACACAGGCAACAATTCCATTATTTTAAAGTAGGTAAAGTTACATAACAAAAAACTTTTGCATTAATTAGTCCATCCAACTGAATGTCCACAAATTAAGACAACCGGTATTTTCGCTACTTAAACTACAGGTATCAAATGTTTAACACATCAGAGCATATTACGGTTGGTAGTGACATAACCTACATAGCTATATTAGGACTAGCACTTAACAACATCAATTATGTCAAAATATACATCAATCACAAAAAAAGGTAATGTTTAATATGAATTTTATATATTTCTTTTCGTAATTATAGCTTGCCAGCATTCCTTTTGTATTACCAACTAAATATGCTAGCAGCTAGTTTCATAAATATCTGCTGCTGTATCTATTTTTTTGTATATTGAAGAATGAATCTGTATGTGACAGCTCCTGCTATATTTATCAACGTTAAAGTGAGTAAACTTGGAAGGTTCATTCATTCTTTATTTTGCCTTTCAAAAAAAAAATACAATGGAATTGGTGCATACAGTAAAATAAAACAAAAAATAACTAAAACTGACATTACAGAAAACTGTAAATCTAAGGAGAGAACACTGTTTTTCTCAGTCAAATACTCCATCGAAATTTTATTTTGTGATTCAATCAACTGATTGAATATTTTATTATTGGGTCATACCATTTTTAACCATATGTATGTGTTACATCCTACAAGTTTAGTCACTTAACGAGAGCAGGAGCTATAAAAATATCTGTTTAACTATAAATTCGTATTCCGTAAGTAAAACTTCAATGATTATACATTGTCCTCTCATTGATTTTATGATATATATTATTGATTGCATATTATCCAATACCTTAAGAAAGGAAATTTACCATATCACATCTAAAAAATGTAAGGGATAATACAGTTTGTCCTCACAGTGCATTTGTTAGTGCAGTGTATCAGTAATCGGAAGGTCTTTAGTTCAAAATACAAGGGATAATATCAGTTTGTCCTCACAGTGCATTTGTTAGTGCAGTGTATCAGTAATCAGAAGGTCTTTAGTTCAAAATCCAAGGGATAATATCAGTTTGTCCTCACAGTGCATTTGTTAGTGCAGTGTAACAGTAATCGGAAGGTCTTTAGTTCAAAATCCAAGGGATAATATCTGTTTGTCCTCACAGTGCATTTGTTAGTGCAGTGTATCAGTAATCGGAAGGTCTTTAGTCCAAAATCCAAGGGATAATATCAGTTTGTCCTCACAGTGCATTTGTTAGTGCAGTGTATCAGTAATCGGAAGGTCTTTAGTTCAAAATCCAAGGGATAATATCAGTTTGTCCTCACAGTGCATTTGTTAGTGCAGTGTATCAGTAATCGGAAGGTCTTTAGTTCAAAATCCAAGGGATAATATCAGTTTGTCCTCACAGTGTATTTGTTAGTGCAGTGTAACAGTAATCGGAAGGTCTTTAGTTCAAAATCCAAGGGATAATATCAGTTCGTCCTCACAGTGCATTTGTTAGTGCAGTGTATCAGTAATCGGAAGGTCTTTAGTTCAAAATCCAAGGGATAATATCAGTTTGTCCTCACAGTGCATTTGTTAGTGCAGTGTATCAGTAATCGGAAGGTCTTTATTTCAAAATCCAAGGGATAATATCAGTTTGTCCTCACAGTGCATTTGTTAGTACAGTGTATCAGTAATCGGAAGGTCTTTAGTTCAAAATCCAAGGGATAATATCAGTTTGTCCTCACAGTGCATTTGTTAGTGCAGTGTATCAGTAATCGGAAGGTCTTTAGTTCAAAATCCAAGGGATAATATCAGTTTGTCCTCACAGTGCATTTGTTAGTGCAGTGTATCAGTAATCGGAAGGTCTTTATTTCAAAATCCAAGGGATAATATCAGTTTGTCCTCACAGTGCATTTGTTAGTGCAGTGTAACAGTAATCGGAAGGTCTTTAGTTCAAAATCCAAGGGATTTTTTGTGAAGCCATACATGAAATATACAATATAAACAATTTGAATTCATCTATCCATGGTATCAGGAATAACCCCAGAAAGTGATTTACATCCTGGGCGTATTTCAGTTTGGCGTCATAGCTCAGTTGGTAGAGCATCCAGATGGAAATCACAAGGTTTTGGTTCCAGTCCAGGCCCACAACATTTGATTCCATATGAGAGTGTGTTCTATGAGGACCAGTTGAGGGCCAGAGGTCCGGGTTGCTTAGGCCACCAGGTAGGTTCATGACAACAGCTCTTGTGTGGAAAATAAAGTAGTCTAGCAAAGGGATAAGGTGGGTTGGTTTAACAGAAGAAGGTTCACTTGAAAAATGGGATATGACTATGTACAACTCTCTGGTTACAGGCCTGAATCACTAAACGGATACCATACCAACATTACTAACATATGAGTTAACCATCTAAATTGTTTTTGTTTCACTACAGTGCATTTTTTCATTAAGTTCATCAGTACAAAATTGGTTAAGGGAACACCCTCCTCCAAAAACATGAACATATACCAGCAGAGTAGACATTGGTAATAAATTGGAGCCTCTACAACTCACCTATACCACTACCACGGTTTCACTGACCGGCATATTAATGACAGCAGTGATAATGGGTGTGGTGTGATTTTTTTTCAAAACAAACACCTTTATGATATCTGAAAGTCCTTTGTCACTTAGGCATTCTACTAGAGTCTCAAAGCTGTAGTTTAAACCAGGGACCAGCATCGGAACCTATGAGAGAAGATTCCCAGGATTAGAAATTTGCACAACTTTCAAATATTTAATATTCAAATATACAAATTTCATATATATTTCATTTATAATGATACTAATAAACAACAGGTTTTGACATGTCTCATGCCATCATCAGGCAATATTGACCAGTTTATATACTACTGGTCAGATGTATGGCAGAAAAATACTAAGGTAAGTCCAACGGTGGTGGAAGCGGGGGGGGCCAGGGGGACCCACCCACTTTTCCCTTTTGAGTTGAGCAATCAAATGTTGAATGACGTCTGTATACACGGGTCCGTAAAGTTTCCTTGAAACCCACCCTCAAGCATGAGAAAAAAGAATGGACTCGCCCGCCTTCGTGCATTCTGGCATGTGAGGGGGAGGCCCTCTTTATGGAGCAACGCTCTTTATCCTAACCATGAAGATGTACAGTAAGTGTATCTGATTGGCTTAGAGTAAACCTTCAAAGTAGCGTAATATAACCACATTTAAACTCCAGTTAATTTAACGAAAACAATAAGATACTTAATTAGGCCATTTTTTAAAACAAAGTTCTCTGAAGCCTAAGTACAGAATTTACAGTACACTGTAGTTAATGTGTTATAGGTTGTAAAAACGGTATTGAATAAAAAAAATCTTTCAAATAAAAAATAAAAAAATTTCACTTGACATTAGGAATTAGTTATTTGTGAAACAAAATGTTAGGCTATGTCAAGTGTTAGGCCTATACTGAACAGGTGGTGGATTCAATGTTATTTTAAATAAATGGAGAAAACAAACAAAATTGTATTCAACTTTTAATTTGAGAGGGTTATTTCTGACCATTTAGAGGTGCCATTAATATAATCATATTTTTTTCTTCCCTCAGCCCCAACCGTCGTGGGTGTGAGGTGGGTGGACATTCCATTTGCACAAGACCCTCCCTGGGTCCCCTCTACTTCGACTTCCTGGACCCGCCACAGTTGGAGTAGGCCTAATAATGATGGTGAAAATGAAAAATGATAGTAATAATAATAATAATAATAACAATAATAATAATAATAATAATATTAATAATAATAATAATGCTTTGGTGACTTATAATGTTTTAATGGTCGTTGTTCACATTCACATTGTAATTTTTATATTTTATTATATTTGATCATTCTTTTAATTGTTTTACTGTCAATTGTATTTTAATGTGAGAACTGAATTTCCGACTTGGAGCAATAAAGTGTATCTTATCTTATCAAATCTTATCATTTCCTGGCTACTATAGGAGGGTAATTTTTATCCATCGGGGGAAAAGTGAAGGTTTCGTCGGAGAATACCCATATCAAGGATACCACTCATGATTAA